GACTTCAAATACAGAGCTTGCAGCACACAGGTTAATATGACAGAAATCTCTAAAAATCTGTGGTGACACATAGGCTACTACCGTGTTTCTACACTGTTACCAACAGCAAGTCACACCAGTCAAGGTTGTCACTTCAACATCACAGAAATCAGCTCTAATTGGTAAACTTAATTATCCATTCTAGAGCCACAGAATGACAGTAGCTTCCCCAAGTCAAACAATCAATCTCCTCTCTTCTCTTGGACCACAGGGCCCTGTTCAGCTTCATCCTGCCACCAAGATCACCCACAGTCAAAGCTCACATGGTGCTGAAGCCTTGTCTCACTGTCTACAACTAGTACTCTGCTGCAGGTACAGCCTGCAGGATAGCATGACAACAGCCCCAAAACAGCCACAGCATCTACTTTGAAAGTCAAACAAAAAAGATTCCACCTGCAAAACAGGGAAAATAGAAGGTTGCCTAATGTTAGCGTCAGGTTCTGTAACAAGCAGGTGTTGCTCTACTGCAATTGTCTGTGAAAAGAACCCCAGCTACTTAAAACATGACTCCAAAGTGGAATTAGATACCTGACATGAGCCTTTCAGCGAGCAGCAGCTCAGATTTGGAAGCAACTTCAGAGCCCTTCTGACAAAACCAGTCTCACCTGCTCTCGGCTCATCCTGCATGGGGTGACTCGACAGCATGACACACCACAGGATCTTCCACCTCTCAGTTTCCTGACTCCATCCCAGCCACCAAGGGAGGTCATGATAGCTTTTGACTCTAACTCAGGGCTGGTGAGCATGGTTCACTTAGAATCATGTGCATATGGTAGCCTAGTTAGCCCTGCTTTAGCCATGACAGAGAGACTCACAGGAGAACTACACTCTGACACCTCCATCTGTATCCCTTAAGTGACTGGCAGTATAATCCCTGCTTCTGCTCACCCTCAATGTGGGGGACAGGCAGAGTAGAGGCTTGTTATCTCCTCCCTGCTCCGATACCTAAAGAAGGGGATAGCAAGGCAGGTGGCAGATGTGCACTTTCTTTCCACAAGAGACCTTCTGTTAGTCCTCTAGAGCCTTTCAGTAGAGCTCCCCAATGGCTCTGAAGCATCCTTTCGGACAGGGGCTGCTAGGTTTACACAGTATCTTTGCCCATGGCTTTAAATGTTGTCATGTTTCTATTCTGTGAAAACCCGTCTCACCTCATCTTACTTGTGACAATATTTCGTTCATCCTCTGCGATGGACACAGACTCTGACTTCCTTATGTCTGCACTCATACAGCCCCTTCACAAGGCAGAAATAAAGGAAAACCACCAGTCAAACATAATTCCTCCCAGCCCAAACACCAAAAGAATCATGCATAGGACATCAGGACACCTTCTACAAAAGACAGTCTAGAAGAGGCTATGGTGACCCAGACCCAGCCTAGCACAGGGCAAGGGGAAACAGCAGCAGAGCAGTTAGCAGGTGCATATGAACACAAGCTTGGAAAATCCAGTCACATTTGTCCAAACAAAGCACACGTGTCTACTATCAGACAGATGGCAAACCACCTCCACCCCCCAATCTCAAGTCACTTAATAGCTTACAGGACATGAATAACCTAAAAGCTCCCCAGTCCAGGGGCTAAAAGAACATCACATAGAAATGAGAGCATTTCACAATGCCTGTGATGACCCGGCTAAGGTCTTACTGTCTTGGAGAGGTGAACCATTCCTGTTGGTCACTCAAAGACAGATATGACTTTCTTAGCCTGTATGGACGCTTTCATTTATATATAGTGCAAATGTAAAAGAAAAAAACCAACTAAACACACTGAGTTGTTATCAGCCAAGTGGATGACTGCAGCCTCAAAGCACACTGAGATTCCAGCTCAGATGCCAATTCAGTTACTATTTCACCCAGCTACAAAACTGTTTCAAACACAAAAACTTCCTTAAAAGGACCCCAACAAGGCATTTTTATATCACTTTCATTTATTTATTCTTTGCAATAAACCCTCAGAAAACTGAATCCAGAATCTCTATTTTTATTTACCATTTCTATGCACATTAGCCCTATTCCTAGATTATTTCTCTGTGTATTATCAATGGAAGCTATAGTGTGCAGGACAGAGAGGAAAGGGAAGGAAAGGAAAAGCAAAGATTAATCCTCAACTTGTGAACTCTCTTTTTGAAAGGGATTCTAATAAAAATTCTGGGTGACCAAAGAATGCACCATCAGTTTCATGAATGACGACACAGATTGCACAACCACACAGAGAGCCAGACTGCACTTCCATTTTTGAGCACAAATTTGGCAGTGTCTACACAGAAATATTTCCCTTATTAAGGTCAACTGGCTGCAAAGCACTTCTTCAGTGCAGTCCTAAAAAGCCCACAGACCTATTTAAGTATTAGGAGCATTGTAATTGCCAGTGATTTCCACTAAAAGAGCTTGGAAAGAAGCACAGACATCTCCCTCACTACATATTTTCCTATCATTAGACCCCTCTCTTTCCTACACCTTGTCAAAAACGACACCAACCATGATTCACTTGCATGACAGCAAGCTTGGCAGCATGACTTAAACATGCACGCCTCCTGATCAACAAAATAGGGAAGAAAAAAAGTCTTGAGCTTCACGATTGCCATTTGAGGCTTCTAAACAGTCTTTTATTCATAGAGCAGATACACAGCAAGGAATATTTTAGTTTAAAAGCAGACATGCAGGCCTCCCAAGTCAAACCACAGTTCACATTTTTCATACAGTCCAGATCAAACCTGAGCTACATTTAAGCATTATCCATGACAACAAGCAGGCTTCTCAAAATATTAATTTCACCACTCTTCAGCATTTCCACAGATCAACCTTGCCTTTTAAACATGTTTATCTGCTGTTCTCCCAGCTAGAGTCACACAGTATCCATGTATAAGAGAGCCATTCCCTGCCCCAAGGCAGCGTCACACCTGGGATGCTATCCTGTGTCCTTGATAGCAGGGCCTAAATTCCCTGCTGGAGCACCTCAAAAATGCTGCAACCCCCTTTCCACAGGCAGCATCACCCAGGTGTCATTTGGAGACCTGGCTCAGAAGCCCCAGCTCCTGCTGTGCTCAGCACACAGCTTACCTGAGCCTTCCCTTCCCAGCACACCTGGCCTGGCTCCCAGGTGAGATAAATCCTTTCCCACCTCTCAGAAAACATACGTGGCACAGCCAAGTCCAAGGAAAAGGTCCTTCAATGCCCCTCTCATGCTTCCGAACCTGCTCTGACAATCACTGGGGTCAGCAACAACACCAACTGCCTGCAGACAGTCTGGCTCCTCTTCAAATTTCCATTTTAAAGCATCATCTACTCACAGGGAGAAAAGGGACAGCCATAAAGCATTCACCAGTTAAAAAAAATAAAAGAGATGCATGACTGGAGACTGGAATTCACAAGTTAAATCTCCAGTAGGTGCCCATGACATGTCTGCTGTCATGATTAATTTTGGCAGGTTTCTGGGGAGGGTTGTTGGGGTTTCTTTCAGGGGTTCTGTGGCAGGTTTGGTTTTTTCAGTTTCCAGAGTGGTTTTTTTTGAAAGCAGGTCACATTGCCCTGTGCACCATGTCAGCAGAAAGAGATCACTCAGCATGTCTCACAGCATGGGTTCACCTCCCCAGTCCAATGGCTCTTACGTAAGTGAGCAGTTGGAGGGAGATACAGCTGATGAAGCCAGTACTCAGGCTGATGAACAAACTGCACCTCCTTATTCTAAGCGATCAGAGGAAAAAAAAAAAAAAAAAAAAAAAAAAAAAAAAAAAAAAAAAAAAAAAAAAAAAAAAAAACAAACAAAAAAGAAATCAAATCCCAAAATCCCACACCTTATTCATCCCATTTGCTTATGAACAAATTCAGCACCACTGCTTGATTGAATTATGCTACAGTTCCCTGCACAATTTTAGGCTACCTCTTAATAATGTTCCAACACACCTCCAACATGGTTGTTAAAATGCAGATTTCTGGAGCATTGCTCACAGTCCGGAGTGTGTTTTGATTTCATGCAGATTTACACATCAAAGCACATTTCCCATGGCACTCTGCAAGCTGCAGAGCAAACCCAACCAGAGCAGGAAGGACACCAATTAAGAGGCAGTACCTGCACACACAAAGTAAAACAGATGCTGCTGGAAAACACCACCGATAAAAATCACATCTTTAGAGGTGACAGCACGATCAGTCACCACGATCAGTCACGTTTCAGAGGACAGAGCTTATGCTTTTTCATTTGAGGAAGGAAAAGAAAATGTGCTTGAGAACAGCTCCAAAAGGCACAGTTCAGGAATCAGTTCTAGGTGAGACACTTAAACAAAGAAGATGGAGTATCCTTCTCTCTTCAGTGAGGAATGCTTCCCACTAGAGACAGGGCTCACAGGATGCTCAGAGAAAGCTCTTTTTACACATGGCTTTGGAGACCAACAACCCATTGTTTACCACGAGGAGCTTTCCTGCATTCAGAGAGACTGCAGCACAGGCCAGGTTTTGGGAGTGGAGGGTTGAAGGGGGAACAGGGGATACCTGCACTGTTTTAGGCATCTCTATTAATGTTTATAAATAGCTCCAAGGAAGTGGGAGCTGTAGGGTAAAACGAACTAGGGGGGGAAAAAACCCAACACCACAGTCCCATTCAAAGGAATTAAAACAAAGATAGGTCAGAGACTTCTCAACAATGGCACTGCCAACTCTCAGGGCCAAAACCCAAAAAGCAGAGAGAAAAGGCACAGACAAAGGGGGATGTAACACCCCCCTCCTCTCAGAATAGGGTTATTTTAAGCCTGTCTCCTTGGAGCTACCCTAATATTTTCTCTCATGACTCAAACCACCAGGGAAAGGAGTTAGAGAAAAAAAAAAAAAAAAAAAAAAAAAAAAAGAAGGAAAAAAAAAAAAAACAAACCCAAAAAACCACAAAACAGAGCTAGGGCTGACCTCATAAGACACCTTTCTAGAAGGGGCAAAGCTCCAAAAGAGATGAAAGGCAGGTGGACTATGACTTACCTGGAAAAGTGTGTGGGTTGGGTGACCCTCTTTTAAGGCACTTTGAACAAAGGACATGCACAGTGTAGTACAGGCCCGGCCATTCCTGGAGCAGGACATTCAGTTCTTCCACTAAAGGCATAATAGCTTGCCAAGCTGTCCAGATATTTGGTAGGGACGCGTGACTAGCGATAGACAGAGTGTCTGGCTGCAGAGCTCCCCTGGCAGGCCGGTAACTCACCACCACAGGCACCTTTCCCCGGTAGGCATAAATCTGGTATTTGCCATCTGACCGCTGAACCACGTGGTTGTTAATCTGGACACTGTAGCGTGCAAACAAGCCGGGTGGGAAAATGAATGGAAAGCTATATTCAATCTGCAGCTGCTCAACCACAAAGGACTGTCCGCTCGGATTGGTGCCGTTGATCCATGCCTCTGCATGGGGCACCTCGTTTTTCACGTAGCAGGGAAACTTGTACCAAACAGCCGCCCCATTTAAGGGCTTGCATTTGGGTTTGTTGACACAGTAACACAGCCCCATCTTCTCCAGAAGCTCCAGAATGAGCTGCAGATCCTCCCGACTCTGGACGTGAGGCTTAAGAAGGAGACGGATAACATGGGCAGGAAGGAGGCCATGCAGCAAAAAGCCCTCCACATAATGATGGAGCTGAGTGGTCCTCAGTTCGTCAATCTGAGTGTCACTGAGCAGTTTCTGGAGCAGCACAGTGGCATCCCGCTGGCAAAAGACATTGAGGATGTCTATGAGCCGCGGCAGATTGTGGAACACATACTCCCGCAAGGTGAGATGCTCCTCAAAGTAGAGCAGCTTTCCACTCTCGTGCAGGTAGGACAGGGCACTCTGCAGCCGATCCTCCGTCAGACCTGCCTGCAAGCCCAGCCGGGCAGAGTCCCACCAGCTAAGCCACAACTGCTGTGCTTGAGGCTGGAAGTGCAGCTCCTCCAGCACTTGCCAGGACTTGGGCAACACCCGATGCAGGTTTGGGAAGATATCCCGGTGCTCAGCCACAGAGAGGAGCTTGTCCCGCAGGCGACGCACCTGGCAACGGTCCTGGCAGCTGAAAGGCAGCACTGGAGACAGGATCTGTGGGCGGTGGTTGAGAAGATACTGAAACTGGGCTTTCTTTCGCCGCAAGTTCTTGTCTGAGACCCTGTAAAAGGCAGCATGCGGGCTGGAGCAGCGCAGGTCGAAGTCCTGTCCCAGAGCCTCATCCACCTGCTGGACTAAGCTCTGGAGTCCCTCAGCATCCCTCTTCTCCTGCTGAGCAATCTGGTGATGGATGTCCAGGCACTTCTCTTCCAACTCCCGCTCCGCACAGAGGTCAGCATGGGTTCCCACCATGCACACTACAGCATGGGGCACCTTGGAACTGAGCCAGTGTAAGAAATAGCCCACAGAGGGGTAGAAGTGCTGAGGGACGTAGGCACTCAAATTCACCACCAGCACATACAAGGCTCCAGGGGAGAGGAAAAAAGACTGGATCACATCATAGCTCGGATCCCCTGCCAGCTCATATACAATGAATGTCAGGCCCCTCTCTGCATCTGCTGTCCAGTCCATCACCTCAATGCCCTTACTGCCTCCTGATAGTCCTAGTCCCAGTGGTGTTCGGGGCGCATTGGGTGGCAGCGACGGTGCAGGGGATGTTGCGTCCCCGTTTTCTCGGTGAGAGGGCAAAACACGAGAAGAGATGTCCTGCCGCTCAACAGGGAGATGTTCTACCTGCTGCATGACAGATACCCGAGTTGAGGAATTGTCTTGAGGCTCTGGAAAGGGACAACACCCAACTGCCACCCTCCCAATGTCCTGCTGTTGCCCAGGAAACCCTCTGTGCTGGGTGTTCCCTGCCTCCAGGCTTTCCACGTCCTCTCTCTGCTCATTTTCCTCCATGAGGCACCGTCTCAGCAAAGTCTTTCCTGCGTTCTTTAGGCCCATGAGGACTAGTTTGAGGCGAGGTTTGAGGGCAGGCTGAGAGTGGGCTAGCTCCTGCTGGTAAGCTGCGATGTAGGGGATGCCTTTCATGCACACCTCATAGGGGGGCTGGATGAGGGGGTTATCTTTGATCTTCCATAGGGTGACACGGGAAAGCTGCCCGAAGCCCTCAGGCAGGATGGCGATCTGGTTGCCTTGCAGGACCAGCTCCTCTAGGCTGTGGAGGAGCACAATGGAGTCAGGCAGGTAGCGGATGCGGTTGTTGTCCAGCCAGAGAGTGCGGAGCTGGTGGAGCTGACAGAGGTGAGGGGGCAGCACAGTGAGCTGGTTGCGGCTCAGGTAGAGCTCCTCCAGACTGGGCAGTGCCAAGATGGCAGAGGGGAACTCCCCCAGCAGATTGGATGAGAGGTTCAGCATCTTGAGCCGCTGTAGTCTGCCGAAACCAGCGGGCAGCGCCTGCAGCCGGTTGCTGTCCAGCATGAGGCTCTCGAGGGCGCTCAGCTGGCAGAGACCCTCGGGAAGGGATGCCAGCCCGGTGCCGCTGAGCCAGAGGATCTTGAGGCGGCGGAGAGCAGCAATGCCCTCGGGCAGGGCTCCGAGGTGGCGGTTGCCGGAACAGTCGAGCTCCTCCAGGGCGGCCAGCTCCAGCACCGGGGCAGGGAAGGAGGGCAGCAGGTTGTGGTCGACGTCGAGGGCGCGGAGGTGCCGCAGACGGCCCAGGCCCTCGGGCAGGCGGCGCAGGCGGTTGAAGCTGAGGTCGAGCTCCTCGAGGCAGCCCAGCTCGGCGAGGCGGGGGGGCAGCCCCGGGCCCTCGGCGCCCAGCTCGTTGTGGCTGAGGCTGAGCTTGCGCAGGCCCCGCAGCCCCGCCAGCGCCCCGCCGTCCCCCAGGCCCCGCAGCCGGTTGTGGCTGAGGTCGAGCTCGGCCAGGCGGCCCAGGTGGCGCAGGGCGGCGGCGGGCAGGCGGCCCAGCCGGTTGCGCCGCAGGCTGAGCACCCGCAGCCCGCTCAGGGCGGCACCCACCTCCTCGGGCAGCTCCTCCAGCTCCCGCCCGCTCAGGTTCAGCGCCTCCAGCTCCCCCAGCGCCGCCGCCGCCAGGGACGGGCGGCGAGGAGCGGCGGCACCGGGGGGCGGCGGCGGCCCCCCCGGCGGCCCCGCGTCCGCCTCGGGCTCGGGCTCGCCGGGGCCTCCCCGCAGCTTCCGTGCGCGCAGGGCGGCGTCGCGCCACAGCTGCACCGCCTTCGGGGGCTCCGTCTGAGCCATGGCCGGGGGAGCGGGCCCCCGCCCCGCCCGACCCTACCTGCCGCCGCCGCCGCCGCTCGCCATGGGCGCGGCCACGCTGCGCGTCGCCGCCGCCGCGACGGGCTCGGGGCTCCCCGCGGCTCCGCGCCGGCACTGCCGCCGCGCCGCGCCGCCCCGCGCACGTACCGCCGCCGCCGCCGCCCCGCCGGGGGCGGGACGCGGTCACGGCCCGGCCCCGGCAGCGCCGCGCCGCCCCGCGCCGGGGAGAGCCGGCCTTGCCTCCGGGGGACACCCCGCCCCTGCCTGCCGGGCCCCGGCCCGTTCTCACCGGGAAAGAGGGGTCTGCGTGCCGGCCTGAGAGTCCTGGCCGGCGGCTCCTAGCCCGGCAACGCCCCAGAGAGCGGCCCTTCGGGTGCCCCGGTGGGGTGAGCCCGCCTGGCCTCGGAGGCGGTGGGGCGGTAGCGGTGGCGGTGCTGGTGGCGGTGCGGGCGCTCCGCCGGGACCCCGGTGTGTGACAGCCGCCGCCCCGGGTCTCGCCCTGCGCCTGGGCTTGCTGAGAGCTTTGCGAGCCGCCCGACTCACCACGGAGTTAGGGCAGAAGCTGTTATGTTACCCCCTGTCATTTTTTCTTGACGCAAGGGCTGATTTTTCATCCAGCCCTGCAAGAAACCGAGGTTAACCTTTCTTCCCATTCAGTAAATGTTCTTCCGTGTTGAGAGAGTGCGAAAGCCGGCAGCCCTCTGGTTAATCGGAGCAACTCTGCCACCTTCCTGCCGTGCTTTGTTTCCTGCGCTGCATCCATCTGGCCAGACCCTAAACACTGCCTTCTTCAGGTTCCTCAGTCAAGCTTTGCTCCAGGGGGTCGGAGAAATAGGCGTGGAAATTTCCACCTCTGATATAGAGGGGGAATAGAACCCTTTTACAGCGGAACCGCGAATCAGGGTGACGAAGGCTGTGGGCGCTCAGTTTTGTTCAAATGTGTGACCTTACCCTTACAAATGGCAGCGATGCACCGTGGCCAAAGGTTCACAGATTTTAAAACGTCATTGTCTTTGTTCAGCACTGGACACTCCAGCATGCTTTGGTGCTTCCTTTCACCGTGGAAGTAACCTTTCACCTTGTTCTAACAGCTACCATTGAAGTGTGCTATAAATTATTACTTCAGACCTATGAAAATAAAAATAAAGGATTTGAAATGAAAAGTAGTCCACAGGGCAACCAGGTTCACAGCCTTTATTGTCTTCCTTATTGTGGAAAACCCTTACAAGAATGACACCTTTCTTTTTGGGTGGCCCTGTGCATCTAACTGTGCCTGGAGAGGAGGAGAGAGCTGAACCAACTTTGTGTTGAGCCATAGTCACTGCGCTAAATTATTACATTTACAAATTACTAAAACTACAAGATTGCAAAGGCTCAGATTCAGTTTCTGTGTTTCCTGTCATTAGCAGACAAGCAGGGATAAAAGAATTTTTCAAGCCCTCTGAGTTCTAGCAGACCTTCACCAGGTTTCTGCTAAATGCCTGAGAATGACATCACTCTGTGTAGGGAAAATCTTGAGTTGGCTGGCAAAGCCAGCCAAAGGAAACAAAGGACAGGGAAGAAAGTCCATAGTGAGAGAAAGTGTGGATGTACGAAGGCAAAACACATCTCCAAGTAGAATTCAGGAGCTGCTCAAAGCCAGCAGAGGCAGTCCTGAGGGCTGGGACCATGTTTTGGCTCTAGGGCCACTGCCTGACTTCTGCTGGAGAAGAGGTATGCAGGGATACTCATGACCCATGAGGCTCTACTGAGAGGTCCTAAACCTGAGGATAAAATTCTTCCAGATCCTGGCCCTAGGAAACAGAAATACTTCATGGCTTCTTGCTAAATTGTGCTCATCTAAAAGTAGTTTCCAACCTTGTATTCATTTATTTTCAGAGCATCCCTGCAGTGGGTCAGTACATCTTTTATTTGGGCTAACCTAGTTTTTGTGTCTGCTTTTCTGAAGGTCACATGGGAAGTAGCCCTTCACTGTACTCCAAAAGAAGCACTCTCCTTCCTTATTTCTAAAGTGGCACATTCAATTCCTAGTGGAGAAGGAATCATTCTCTTCTCCCACCCTCTTGCCCAATAGCTCTTGTTGAAATGAAACCAGGTTGATGGTTTCATTTCCAGCCTTTATGCAAAACCACCCAACCTGTTGCTATCAAAATTACATTTTTAAATCAAGACAGTCTTTCTAGAAACAGAAGACCTCTGCAGGGAAAATTGACCCTGGCTTCAATGGCAGTGGCCAAATTTTCTTCAATTGCAAGCTTTCTTCTTTCCAATGCCAGGTAAAGACACCAAAAGCAGCATCATTATTGAGGGCCACCCACCCCATGATTCCTGTGGGCACTGCAGATCCTCTCTGAGGCCAGGGCAGGCTTCCAGTTGCTATATGACCTGCAGCAAGTGAACTCAAAAGGCTGCCACTGCATTGTTTCCCATGGGAAAACTGGAGGAGCTCCTCCACTGGGGATGCTCCAAGCAGCTGCTTGGCTCAGTCAGCTGAAAAACACCAGGGAGAGAAGTGCTTATCTCCATCTGCCTGCTATTAGAGGTCATAGCCTGTATTAAACATATCTTTCTGGCAGCATGCAAGGACAGGGTAAGTTCTTTTCACTAAGCAGGGAAAGTTTTGACTGTCAACCTTCCTATCAAAATATGCAAAGCAGCAGGAGCTGAATTCCACCCCATCGAGAGGGAGAAGTCATGCAACACTGTTCAAACTTTGATAAGCTCCTGTAGGTGATGAATGAAGCTAAGGCAGAAGAAACATGATGAACAGTATGTTGACACAAAGACATCCCCAGAGCTACTTGAAGGTTTTCCAAAGAGGGAAGCTCTGGTGCTTTCCTATGAACCTTACACTTTATCCCCTTATGTTTGCATGAGTCTGCAAATCTCTGATGGTCAGCCAGGGATGGTTTCTCTTGGCTTTTTCAACACATTCACCACAGTCAAAGCTGCCAATAGGGAATGAGATAGGTAGGTTCTGGGGAAAAGGAAGATTCTATTTATCAGAAAATGTGGCTTTTGGTACAGACCTAGATGATCCCTTATCTTCCCATCTTCTTAGGCAGAGGAGACATATTTTTCCAAACATGACTTTCGCATTTCCTCTCAATTTACTCATTAGCTTACTAAAGGTCCATTAAACATGAGCATCAGCATACTAGATGCTGGTTTTGGAGTAATTTCCTAGTTTTTGGAGGTTAACAATATTCATAAACCACACCAAACCCCTCTCTTGCTGCTCAGGATCAGCTGGGACTTACAGCCAGGTGGCTGTAAAATTGCCAGGAAATCTATAAAGCATTTTATATTAAAAAAAAAAAAATCCCATTTCAGTGGGTTCCATTATATGTCAAAATTGCATTTGCAGTTATTAATTTTAAATAGTAGTCCTGCAAAATCCTATTGATGGAATTTAATTATTCAGATGAAATCTGAAGTGCTTCCACTTTACTGAGCCCTGCACCTGCATCATTAATAAGATTTCTATGTAAAGAACCTTCTTACTGAGTCAGGCAAAAGGCACTGAGTAATCAACAATATTTTAGGCCCTTGCAGGATAAGAGGTGCAAATGTAACCAGCTGCTTGTGACAGGACATGAACTTAAATCAGCTCAACAGAAGCACCAAGCTGCTGTCGTAAGCAGATGCAGGGTGTGCTGTGGGCCAGTGCAAAGCTCACAGGCTCTGGCACCAGCAGTGAGTGAGGCTGGCAGGCCCTTGGGAGACTGCATGCCCTCTGCACCACCAGACATGCAGCCCACTTGTTAAAAACCCCAGGGTCCTGCTTTGGCACCAGTTCTTGTCTCCAAGGGCTCAGTGGCTGGCTGGAGAATAAGCAGTGGGTTGACTGACTGCTTTCAAAGATCCTCCACACGTTCCTCCTCAACCTCAAGTAGAAGTCCTGTGAGGATAAAATTTTGCCGAGAACTGCATTCTCCACACTGTTTTGCCCACCATTTGTACGGGAGTACTATGAATCTACCCCAAGGCTTAACAAGCCATATATGGTGATGGCAGCACTTGAAGAGATCCTGGAAATGCTCTGGGCAGAGGAAAGAGAAGGGCAGGGATGACTAACACTGCTGTTTGCCTCAGCCTTCTGCAGGGGAGCGGTGGGGCTGTACTTGTGGGGCAGGAAGACTAAGGAGAAATTTGGGAATGCAGTAGGATAGGGACCCCCGCAATGTGGGAGTGTGAAGAGGAGGTGCATCCCCAGAACTGCCCAATGTAACCCATGACCAGTACCCACTTCCCCATAGATAGGTCTCATACTGTCAATCCTAATTGCTTTGCTTGTTTCTTCCTAGGCACAGGAATTCCTTAATAGAATCACAGGAAGGTTTGTGTTGGAAGAAACCTTTAAAGATGATAAATCCAACCCCCTTGCCTTGGCAGGGACATCTTCAACTAGGTCAGGTTGCTCCAAGCCCCATCTCACCTGGCCTTGAACACTTCTGGAGGCAGGGCATCCGTAACTCCTCTGCGCAACCTGTTCCAGTGCCTTACCACCCTCATGGTAAAGAATCTCTTCCTAACATCTAATCTAAATCTCTCCTTGTTTAGTTTAAAACTGTTCCCCCTTGTTCTGTCACTATATGCCTGTGTAAGAGTCCTTCTCTCCTTTTTCTTATACTTCTGCTTTAAGTACTGGAAGGATACAATGAGGTCTCCCTGGAGGCTTATCATCTCTAGGCCGAACAACCCAGTCTGTCTTAATAGGAGAGGTGCTTCAGCCCTCTGATCATCTTTGTAGCCCTTGTCTTGACTTGCTTCAACAGGTCTAGAGGACCCCAGAGTTAGATATAGTATTCCAGGTGAGGTCTCACAGGAGAGGATTAGAGGGAAAGAATTTCCTTCGGTCTGCTGGCCATGCTTCAGTTTATGTAGCCCAGTACACAACTGGCTTTCTAGCCTGTGAGTGCACATTGCTGGATCATGTCCTGCTTTTCATCTACCAATACCTCTCTGGCCTTCTTTTGAAG